GGGGGCAGACACGAGAATGCATTATTCATGCTGATAATGTCATTATCATTGCAAAATAAGGAGGAAAAAAACTCAGAAACAACAAATGACTTCATATGACTGTTTTTTTTTTTCCTTTTCCTGTTTTCTTGACCTGAATTTTGATTGCTGTGTATAAACTGTAACAGTTTGTGTCTGCCACGCACAACACCGTGCTTCTATCCCACAGTCGCATGCAGAGTGTGCCGAGTAAGCGAAGGAAGAAAGGATGGATGGATGAAAGAGGGAAGAGGGTGTGGGGAAGACAAAATGAGAAATAAAAAAAAAGAGGATGTGAACTTTTGACTCCCTCTTGTCATTATTAATTAAACCAGTGACCTTGCCATCCACAAAAACCTATTTCTAGAGACCACGCAGCCAAAAATATACCAGCCGGCACAGTCAGTTAAGGAGAGCAGGGCTGAGTGGGAGGGATGGATGGATGGTGGGAAAAAAAAAAAAGAGATAAATTAGGTTTGGGTGAAAGGCCAAGGAGAGAAGTAAGGGAAAGAAAATGGTAAGAGCGTTGTGTGATACAATCAGAAAAAAGAAGTAAGGAGGGGAAGGGAAAAAAACAGAGGGGGAGGGATAAATCCATGATCAGAAAGAAAAAGAAACGGAGAAGGGGGAGGACAAAGAGAGGAGAGGAGGCGCGTGGGAAAAAGAGAGACATCATGTAGAAATGAAGACGCCTAAGAGGGTCAAGAAGGGGTCCTTCTCATATTAAAGCAGGATGTTAACAATGGCAAGAAGTGGCTCAACCTAATTACCGACAGGCAGCCGTGTGCGTTCCTCTCCCCGGGAGTTTCACACCAATATCTCCCTCTTTCCCTCTCTAAATTTAGCCAGAAGTTAAAGGAAGGTGAGGAAAGGAGAAAGTAAGAGCGCGCGTGGATGAATTAGCTCGGCGGCTGCGCACGGATAATTATACCCCGGCATGGGTTAATTAATTGTTTTAATTCCAGTTTTGGGGTCACGCAGGAGAGACTTGTTTAATTGCGAGTTGTGCATCTGTAAATACTCTCCCAGCAGAGTCAGCGGAGACGTGCGATGTGACGGGAAGCGGCGGTCGGCGTTGAGATGACGCCATGCGCCGGAGCGGCAGCTGCCCGCCCGCATGCACGTGAAGGTTTTTGAGGCTGATCTCGAGGGGACTGGCTGCCAAGGAAGCAATGAGGCCTAACTATCTCTCTTTCTCCAATAGCCGACACACCTGACTCACCTCCCCTCCCTATGACCTCTCCCCACTCCAACTTCAGCTGCTCATTCTTAGCCATACAAACCCTAGGGAGGGCCTCTCATTTGGTCCTCCATAGGGTTTGTCACCCCATGTCATTTTGCAGGGCGGTGTCAGTACTACCTCTCCTTTTTTGTGCGTGGAACTGCCTATCCTGCATGGATAACTCTCTGTTCTTTTCAAAAACAACCTGGTAAACTTCAGGAAACAATTAAGGCAGAGCAATGGAGCTAAAGCCTACAATAATAGAGGCGCCGTGTGGAGAGAAGAAAAAGAAAAAAAAGAGAAAAAAAACAGGGAGGAGGGTTAAAAAAAAAAAGAAAAGAAAAGAAAAAGGATGGAGGAGGTTTTACCACCAGCATGGAGTTAAGGCTCTGGCATCTCAAACGCTCAGATTTTCAGTGGAGGCATGAGGACACCAACTGGCTGGAGGGAAAAATTGCACCTCCCGGGAAAAGCATCCACGATCAGCGAGCTGCCTGCAGTATTTAGAAGTCGATGGCGTCTGTGTTTTCTGTTTTTTAAACATGTAAAAACCAAATAATTTATACCTAACTGTGAACAGTGAAGTTGTGAGATCATTCATATCTCTCATATCTGTTGTCTGAGGATCGGACCAGAATAAAAGATTTAGACTTTAAAGTCCTAATGGAGTCGAATTATAATCCGCATTTTTAACCAAAGTCTGGTTCCCTTCCAAGTCTTAGTTTAGAGGTTACGCTGTTTTTCCCTCCCCTCCCTCTCTCGGGGACAGCAGAACCGACTGTGAATAGAAACAGCAAACACTAATACCACCGTCTCCCTACTGCTGACAGACAGAATCCGTTTAACAGTATTTATTTCAGGCTGTGTTTTTGTCCATTTGATGGATTTAAGTCGCTCGGCGTCCTCCATCACCCACCGCTGAGCAAAATATCAGGCTGTTTATTTGCCAAATGCTTCCCTACGTTAGCGAGTGGCATCGGCTAATCACCAACTTTGTCTGACATGTGGTGCCGGGCAGGATGTGTACACTGGGGTTTGGATTTTTTTTTTCCTTAGAGCTCACTGCCTGCTGAGACTAAAAAACAAAACTAGTGAGAAAAATCATAAAATAAAAACATGAAGCTGACAGATGATTAAAAAAACTCGAAAGATCTGAGGAAATCTAGAAATTTAGGTAATAGATCGCTTTCACTATAAACATGTTAAAACATAAAAGCCATTAATGTGAGCAGCTAAAGGTATGTTAATAATTACTGAACTTGACTGCATTAGGGCACTTGATCAGGGTTCTGGGAGTCAAAATAAAAGCCATTTTATAGATGTATACACACACACACACACTCGCAGTGAAAAAAGGAAACACTCAGCATCAGAGCAGGCATCTTAGGATGATACTGGAGATAGTAAGTAGAGAAGCTTTCAGGCTTGCAAGGGAGCTTTTCCACATCAGACTGACTAACACGCAGACAGACAGACAGACACACTGAAAGACTGATCCCCTGTCCTAAAACCTCATCTCCCCTTTGGCCTTCTATCCAGCTTCATCCCCCACCCCAGCCTCTCATCTCTTCATCCCTCGCAGCCATCCTCCTCCACTTCCTCCTCTCACTACCCCGAAGCCAGGCTTTGGACTGTCTTCATGCACACACACACACACGACACCAATATAGGGACCCCAGAGACTACATCTCAGGCCCACAGCTTTCTCCCAAGTCAATCCCACTGTTGACGAAATCAGGCGAAAGGCGTGATTGATCAGACAGATTGGATACAATGCTGCACAGAGAGAGAAGTGAGACTGCGGATCTCGCTACTCTCCCACGCCACCTCCGTTACCCCTATGATGACATCATCGTGGCCAGAGACCTTCAAGTTGCGACTGCGATTAAGTGCGATTAGTTCTGTCTGGTGCTGACAGATCCCAGGGGGGTTTTCAGCTACAAAAAAAAGAGCTTTTTGGGTGTTGGAAAGTTTGGCAAAGAGAACAAGCATGGGAATGTTTTAGCGTGTAGGCATTTTTGTTTTTGTGTACGAGTGCTAGAGACGGAACGTGATAAAGAAATAAAAACATACTCATATCAGTATTGACTCAATCTAAGAGTCCAAACTGAAGCTCAGCACAGACTGCAGAAGTCTGTTTTTTGCTTGTGTCTTTTGAGATATGACTCAAAAGGGCAAACCGCTTTCATTTAAACTAAAGAAAGAAGATTTGTCTGATGGCCTCATCAGGTCAAAATTTTATAATAAACTTCGACTCAGACACTTACTAATGCAATAAAATAATTTTTTTTTGTTTCATTACCCAATGCTCCGGGTTTAAATCTTTTATAGACATTATCATTTGCTAAGGCTTCAGAGACACAGGCCTAAAGACTTATCAGCAAAAACTGTATAGTCTCCAACCAGTTAGCAAGGGGCTGCTTGTGATGGCTAGGTCAGATTGATCCCAAAAGAATAAAATAAATAAACCTCCTTGCTTTGGTAATATTGTGAGTAGAATGTGAAAAAAATGTGACAAACTGTGAAGTGAGATCGTTTAAAGTAAAAGTTGTGTTCTACTGCTTCAGTCAACATTACTGTGAAAGTGAATTATCTCTGTGTCCAGTTTGTTTCACACTTCTCAGTTTCACTGTCACTTGGCTAGTGGTTAGTGTGTGTTTGCAAAGAAGTCAGGCTCCTCCACGTAACCGACGAGCAACTGCTGCAGCTGCAACGTTTTCCGCTTTTTGAGCAATTTCACCGAGCACCAAGCATTCATTCACCAACTAGTAGGGAAATACACATTTTTTCCCCCCATACAACCGGTAGTTGCCAGAGTATTGTCAACTGGCATCTAGGCTTGCGTGACACAGGCCTGGAGACCAGTGAGATACTTGGTCAGTTAGCAGTGTAGCTTTGTAGCATTAGCTGCAATTAACCACCACAAAATACTGGTAGTATTTAACACTTTTTACTGCTCATGAAGGACATGTTTAATTCATAATAGAAAGAATGTAATGTTTCAACTTGTTTAATTAGCATAATCTCACATAATCTAGTCAATATTTGATTAGCACGGTAAACATGTTAGCACTGTTAGCATCACTAAACTACTGACTATATACTGTATATTACGTTTTACCTAATTAGACACAATTTCACTGACTAATATGAGCCTAAAAATTCAATGTAAACCAAGTCTAGCTTAACTTTATTTCTTGCTTTAACTTTTTAATGTTTATAGGTTAATTTAGCCTGCAAATTATCTCTAACTGGTGCCTAGCATGCTTAAATCACTTTCCTTTGAAAACAGTTCTCAAAATTGCTTGTTTTTGTTCTTGTATTTACTCTTGCCTCAGATCTCTCTGACTGGCATAATCTTGTAATGAGTACAACTCCTCTGAGATGAGCTGTGAACCCCCACATCAGGAAGACAACAAAAAGGTTATGTAGCTTGAGGAGTACAGCATTTTTTTTTTTTGTAGTCACAAGAATACACGTCTCAGCACAGCGAGGGAAAGAAAGCCACCAACTCATAGTTCAGTTTCTGACATAAACCAGTGCTGAGAGACTTCCTTTTAATGTTCTTCTACCCCCGCGCTAACCCTCTGGAGGTGGCAGTGGGTGGTATGCTGGGTGGTGCAGGGCCTCAGCTGGCCGCACAAAGCAAGGATGACAGAGACATTGTACTCAACCTTTCCATTCACCCAAAACATGATGAAGTCCTCTACTGTCTCACAGGGGAGAGTCACACTGGCAGGACTTTAGAAGTCTTTTTATACTTTTAAAAGTCTAAACAACAATGCTTGCTCACACAACACACACACACACACACACACATTAAAGCAAACTTTCATCTTTCCAGAGACTGTCATCCCTGCACCGACAGTGACACAGAGTATAAAGTGCTGACTCGTTGGCCTCCCTGCCGATTCCCACCCTGCTGTTGATGGAGCGTGTCCTGATAAATAAAGCGACATATGCATTGGAATGGGAAAACGAGGGGAAAAAGAGAGAGAGAGGCAAAGGGAGAGAGAGAGCATGGAGAGCTATAATTAGTAAGTGATTAACGAGCAGGCATCAGACAGGTCCCACATCATTGATTGTGATGTTGTGCAATGCTGCTGCAGCGAAAACAAGTTGGCCCTAGGAGGGGGATATGGGGTCACTGCTCAAACACACATCCACACACACGCAGTAAATGTGCCTGTTCCTACTGCAAAACACATCCAGTGGTCATTAGTGAAACCATAATGGCAAAGCACATTATGTCAGACTAAAAGACTTGTATAATAAAAAGTTTGACTGTGCTAAATTCCACATACTCTAACCATGTATCCAACAACTCCTTCTATACATGATTTAATGTTTGCCTTTCCCATCAAGCTCCACTATCAGTCAGCTCCCAGGTTCCCAAACTGATGTGTGTGTTTAATCATATCCAATGTACTGCAACAAAAAATTTCTGAATGCAGAAAATATTTAATCTCAATAACAGTTTCTTGACTGTGGTACAAGCGAGCATGTAGATTTTGCATAGAGACTTGAGAGGATGTTATACCCTGATAGCTAACTGTTTTAGCTTTATGTAGGAATACTTCCCTTTTTTAAAGTTCACACTTAGTTTGGGAAATCACTTCTCAGATTAATAAAAAGTTGGCTCACAACTTCACACAGCACCGCTGTAGACAGACAGGCACACGGCCCCTCCCTCCACTAGCAGCTGAACACATGAACAGCAGTGGATATTCACAAGACTAAACAACATTTTATGATGAATTTGGAAGTCACTAAAGCTCCCATTTTAACAACTTTAAAGCAGCTATCATAAATATTGATCTAGTAAACAAACACATTAATGTTAGCTGTTAAATTATTAGCTATTACTCAAAGCCAACATTAACTGTCAACTAAATTAGCATTATAAGTTAGCAGCTATGGCTAATAATAAAATATTTTTGTGGAATTTGTCTTGAATTTTTTGTGTCATTTATTTCCCTTATGACATCAAAAACAGCATACAACATACTGAGTATCAGTATCAAGCTTAAAATTCTAGCATTGTTACAAAATTCAAGTCAAGCTTATTTAAAGCATTGCAGATCAGCTCATTTCAATGCATTTCCACATCACCCAATACCCTCCTATGTGTATTTTAAACTTCAATACAGAGCACGGCATTTAAGCTTCTCTAGCTTGCTTACAGTTGCTGGTTGTCTGAAAGCCGCTTTGCAACCCCTCGAATGAAAAAACTGATACTGTTTTTATGTTTTAAATACATTTGTTGTTTTCTCTTCTGATTTATCCTCTAGACCAGAAGTAGGCAATCGAGTTTCCCAAGGGGACACATGAGAAACTGGGACTGTTGTGGAGGGCCGCATCAATAAGCTTTGAAGGAGTTAAAATTAATATTGCGCATAACTAAGTTCAGCTCATTGATGCGGCCCTTCACAACCCGTTCTTTAGACTTTTCAAGATTGTATTGAGTGACTGAGGACACATCAAGGTTACACACCCCAACTATCAACACAAAGTAAGAAAGTTATATGTGGAATAATAAATGGGTTTCGGTTGATTAGATTCCAATTTGGAACTTAACGTGATTTCAGCACTACTATAATTAAGCTTCTCTCAAACCTCAAAATTGTTTTAACCATTACCATCTATAGCTTGGTCATATTTCCACATTTTGTTTAGCTCTTTACTTAATCTAAATTCAGACATGTCTTACTTTGAAAATCTCTTTGTATTTCCTAAAAAAGGTAAGATAGAAATGGGTCCGACATAGATAGAACACATCGCTACCCACTGACGAGCCTGGTTACCTCACAGATGTAGCATAACGGCGACAATAAATACGGTCTTCAGTCTGCCAGTTCACAGAACTTGTATTATTTAGAAATTATTGGAGGTCGATGGAAAAATTGTTTGATTCACTGTTGCATTTTATCAAAACTATTAAATGATTCATTGACATTCAGTCAATGTTTTAAGTGACTGAATGCAGAAGAAAAACAGTGCTTGCATGTATGTCGGCAGCCTCTGTAGTATCTTTTACAACTCTCACCAAACCCTGACGCAGTTCTCTCTTCGTCTGAAGATGAGTTAGGCAATACTAAGCGAAATTTAAGATGTAGGGAGAATAAAACGAAAGAGAGAGAGAAGAGAAAGGGACAGAGAAATGCTGAGGAAGGCTTTCCCTCTCCATCTTTCTTTCCCAGAGAACTGGTCAGGTGCCAACATCAATGTACTTTACTGTATGGCTGGGTGGGCACAGAGAGTGCTGGCCCATCATGCGTGGTGTAATGTCGCTCTGTCCTTGCCCCCATTCTTTACTCTGCCAAGCTAATAATGATGACAATGAGAAGGCGGAGAGAACGAAGGGAACACTTAGGAACTTGGCTCAGCTGCTCGCAGCACAGAGGAATGAAGCAGACTTTGCCAGTGTGACGGTGGAGGGTGTGTCAGCAGGACACAAGGAAGAGAAAGTTTTGGCAAAGTAAGACGTTTAAGGCCATATTTCCCCCCATTACCTACCTTGTCGTTGTTGTAGTAGGTCAAACTCTCACCATCAAATCTCACCCACCTCCTCTGAAAAACACATTTTCTGCACACAAAAAAAGAGAAGTGGAAATGTGTTTGATACACTCACAAAGTTATTAACCAAAAAAAGAAATCAAGCGAAATCCCCAAATCTCAGGACAGCAAGTCAGTGATCCGCTCTGTACAGGTACTCATATTTCATCAAGAGTGTCATTGTTTCATTAATGTCAAGAGTTGTTTCAACAGCTGTCAATTAGCATAATCAAAACAAATGGCCACTTCCAGTTTGAATATTCAACAGCCCAAGGGCAGTTTGCCAAAGTTATGCTAATCAGGTAAGGAAGGAGAATATAAAAAGGAAGCAAATGACTGATAGCTGTGGCTTCAAGCAACAGTGGAACGTGTAGCACCAAGGGAGACACGGGGAAAAGAAAATGTAGTTTTTGACAGGAAAGCTGAACGAACTGAAATAAGACATATCGTGCATCTCAATGCTACGAGGTTATCTCCCATCTTCTTTTTCCTTTCCTTTCGATAGTGCCCTGCATTAAAGATAGATCTGCTCCTGTATCCAATACCATTTATCAGTTTTAAGCAATCATCTGAGATAGAAGACACACGGGGAAGCAGAGAGTGCAAAATTTATTAGAGAACAGTTTTCTGGCCATTTGAGATGCATGTTGGGTTTCAGAGGTGTAAAAAAAACAGTATATACACTAAACCTGCACTGATCTTAAGAGGATATAAATATCCTCCAGGCAGAGTGGAGCTGCAGAAAATTGACCTTCATGCATGTAGAGCTACCTCTAAATACTTGTATGAAGCAGTGTAACCTACCCTTGAGGTGACAGCTTGTCCAGCCAACCCACTTTGAGCACCTGCCGTTTAGGGACCCCATAGAAGCATGCATATGGAGAAATATCAGGCAGTCCACTTTTCTCTGCAGCCCCCACAGAGTCTGCAGCTTGTGAGTAGAGGTCACAATTCACCATGATCAAGGATTTATTATTAGAGCCAGAGGCAGCTGGACCGACAGCAGAAGCGGGGTCAGGGGTCTTGGAAAAACTTTGGTCCACACATGCCTGCGGCAAAACGGCAGCACACTCGTCCACTGTGGAGTAGTCGTCCCCGTAAGGGTCTGGAATTGCTGGAGCTGGTGGAGACATTTTTTCTTTGGACTCTTTCTTTGGTGGTGTCTTTTTTCTGCACAGAGGACATCAATAGTTAGATGGAATTAGCAGTTAATCAGGAATTACCTTGTGTATGCATCACATGTTAAGAGAAAAATGCTGCTTTGCTAAAAGAACCCAATTGTGCTTATTTCCAGGTTTCAGTTCAGTTCAGTTTTATTTATGGTCAAATCACAATGACACCTGCCTCAAGGTGCTTTATATTTTATGGTAAAAACTCTACAATAATACAAAGAAAAGTCCAACAATCAGATAACTGTCTGTGAGCAAGCACATGGCAACCGTGGGAAGGAAAAACTCTCCTTTAACATGATGAAACCTCCAGCAGAACCAGGCTTAGGAAGGGCCGGCCATCCGCGATGAATGGTTGCCTCTATTAAAGTAGCTTTGCATGATCTACAGCTTAAAATAATTTTGAATTATATTATTCTGAGGCCTTGGTGCAGCCATTGTTCAGCTACTCTTTGTTCAGCCTTCACTTTCTCCTGATTGGCTCATCTACTAAAAACAAGTTTGGAATAGAGGGTGGGCGGGGCTTCTTTACTCGGCGAACAATGTGACTGACAATCAAGTAGTGAGCAGTTTCATGTGGGAACTGTTTCCTTTCTATTGAACCGACCGTATCACTGGGCAGAGGGAAGCGTGCACTGAAGTGTGACAAGAGGCACGTGTTTCTAGCAGGAGTACTGGAATAATGGTGTTCTCCGGAACTGAGCTGCAAAGTTAGCTAGGCTGCATGCTTCGTTTGCTTGCTGGATGTAGCTTGGCTATAAAGAAAACGGTTCCTACATGAAATTGCTTTCTGTAAACACTGCTGCAGTAAAACCTGGGAGGGGCACTTTCACCAGCACAAGGCAAGTGCAATCTGGTTTCATTACATTCAGGAGAAGAGACAGATCTCTGCAGCCAATACCTGCAAACTTAAGGCAGCCTAAATAGGATGGCAGCAAGAAGGAAAAGAAGAAGAAAAAAATTGATATTTTGGTGTTCTGCCTCTTTAAGAAGGCCCATTCTTACAAATCTGAGGAAGGATATATATATTTAATATTTCTAGTGTAGCTAATCACAATAGTTATTTTTTCTCATGCAAAGTGGCCACATACGGTTATCAGCACTTTACATGCCATTATACAACAAAATCTGCAGTGTATGAATCCCAGTCTTCATTCAAATATCTGGATTTCTGTGTGTGTATATCCAGAGTGGGCTAGAGCAGCATTACGTGAGCATACTATACCTCGGTTTCCTCCGTTTTATCTTGTCCTTTAAACCCTTGTGGGGCCCTTCTTTAGCACCTTGGTCCTAGAGAACACAGCAGAGATTAGCATCAGATGAAAAGGAGGTGTCCATCTTTCAGTCAGACACAGTTATTGTCTTGGTGCACTAAACTATGTTAACTTTAGCAGCGAGGTGACATTTCTATTAACCTCAGGGGGCAAGCTGAAACGAGCACATTTTACACTGTGTGTCTACAGTGACAGCATTAACACTGAGAGGGAAGTTGAGTGTGCGGACTGCAGCCGAAACACCGAAGATAGTGTCGAAGATCTGAGAAATGTCTGTTCCTCTTTGGCGAGCTGCTACTCACTGTCCAGTAGTGGGAGTGTACGCTGTCTTACCGGAGCACTTTTGGGGGTGTTGAACAGGAATATTTCACCGTAGGGAGCAATAGGCGTCAGGGTTCTTTGAAGTGGAGCTAAAAAGGACACAGAGACAACACGATGGTGGTTTGTCATGGCACTGACACTTGCAAAACACAGTGTGAAAGCCTAAACGTGGTGCTTGAAAGTAGAACGCTTAACTGGATTGTTCCAGTTCAATTTTTAATCACTCAGATGTTATAGTGTCCTTTGATTAGACTAACTCACTGATCTGAGCAAACGTGTCAACGATTGATTCGTGCAAGCAAATACACCAATTAAATTTCGCTTCAGCATGCCAGTGTTTCTGCCTCGGCCCTCATCCCAACACACAAAATGAAAGTGCGGTCCTCGCTGCCAAGACATTTCTCTGTCTGGGCTCCTGCAGGGACCGTGGTTGGTGGAAGCGAAGATGAAGAAGAAAAGCGTAGAGACTCCGGCCAGACGCTATTAGTCTGGAGACCCCGGGCCACCCTGCGTGGGCTGCTGCCTGTCACTGTGAAAAATGACACCGCCCTCTCCTGAGGATTGTGAGGGCCAGAAGACGCCGCCACAGGGCTGGACACACACACAGACACGGGTGGAGGAGCAGATATGCGCGCTGACAGTGGCGTACAAAGATCGAAACACTCTCGGACACGTAAAGATGCCTCGAGACAAACACAGACATTAAAAGGATCTACAGCCATATACGTAGACACTCGCACTCCTACGGACATGAATGTACTACTTTTGAAATCCTCACAGACACAGACTTCCAAACAATGCAGCCCATTACCGAAGTACACAGAGGGCACGGTAAGCTTTATGAAGAGGTCAATTTACTTGATGACAGAATCCACTCCAACAAAGTCGCCCTCTCCAGAGAGAGGCTTGGTGCGCAGATAGCGACCATCAATCATCATCCATCAGCCGACCTTCAGGCCACTCATGGGTCTCTCAGAGGGCCGTCAGATGCCGCTGTATTCAATTCCTGTCTGATTCCCTCTACTCTTCCCTCGCTGGATCGGTTGTCAGCTTCTGCATTTGTTTCTCTGCTTCTTTATCTGCTCATGAGCAGACTGTCAAGTTGCAATCTGGGAAACGACTTAGATGCAACCAGCAGCTTGGTGTTAGCGTGGAGATTATTTTGTTTCTCCTGTCTTTACGTTGGGGGGTTATGGGTTACTTTGTTATTACTTGTTTGTGACACCTCATTGCTGAGCAGGGAGGACATGGAACTGAAACTGAATGAATTCAAATTAGTCACCAAACAGTTTATTTCGTGCACTGCTTCCCTAAAGTTAGCAGTGTTTAAAGCACGAAACGGTCAACTCTACAGCACTGCTTTACTAGCTAACATTTAAAATTATTTTTTTTACTGTAAAAGTTTATTTCTAATTCTGTACATGAAAAGATTCATGTACAAAGCAATCTACAATAAGATTAACTAGAGAGGCCTTTGTTTAGTGCCGTTTAGAAAATGTTAGCATGCTAACAAGCTAACATTATTAGCTAACCTTATTAGCTAGAGTTACTTCAGCTGTTCAACTGCGTGCTAAACAGCTAACTACAGTGAAGCAAGGTGATTAACACTACTTTGAAGGTGGGAATCTAGTGTTGCGCTGTACCATATCATATCATTCACAATAATACCAATGTAAATTTAAATAACATAGCAATATTTTTGCCATGCATTTACATTACGTAGTGTGGGCATTTATGAGAAAAGCGTGGGTGTGTCTGAGAACGAGCGTCGTGTGTCTGCCTCCAAAAATATACAGAGGAAGCTACTTAAATATCTTCCGACAAAGCACAATACTCTTCAAAATATGAAAGAAAACCGCTTTTGCTTTGAAACAACTAACACGTTTTCACCACTTGAGGTAAAGACACACAGTCGAGTAAATCCGGGCTGTGAAGGAGGAGATACTGGTGATGCAGCTGCTGATGTGCGACCCAAATGTAATCCAATCACATAACCTTGCTAGCTGCACGCCATATGACAGAAAGGGCAAATGGGCTTTAAGCAGCTGGTCAAAAAACTCGACCCAAGGCTCAACATCCCAGGCAGAAAACATATTTATGTTTCATTATGTGAAAATGTTGTGCAGCTGCTAATGAATTACTATGCCAACTTACTTTAGATATTCTTACACTAAATTAAAAATCTGCCTAGACTGCTTTTGTGCTTATGTTCAACTTATGCTGGGTTATTACCACTGTACTATAACGTTGCTGCTGTTGGTACCATGTTTCAATAGGTTTAAAACGTCAAATTAAGAAGTGTGCCATCATTGACAGGAGCTTGATGGAAAAGGATGGAAAATCTCCTTTATTTACTTACACTTAGAAGTAAATACCACTGTTATTCTGAGTTTTCTTGAACTATAAGCTTGAGGTTATATCACCCATGTTCACTCGAGGGTTTACAGAGAATGGTCCAAAATAGAGAAAGTATCTAGTGCCTTGTTATGGTTAGGGGAAGGTAAGTTAAGAACAGTCAGACTGCTTCAAGCCAACAGAAAGGCAACAGTAACTTAAACTCCTGAGTATTGCTGCTGATTGGAGGGTACCCATCTTCCGATGGCGGTTTCCAGTAGCATTACACGCTATGTCTCAAAGTTCAAATCATCTCTTGACAGTGACCATCACTCAATCAGTGAGTGGAGGCCATTTGAGAACAGCCAGTTCTCAGTCCAATAGAGCACCTTTGGGATGTGGTGGAACGGGATATTCCCATCATGGATGTGTAGCTGACAAATCTGTGGCAACTGTGCGACACTATCATGGTAGCATGAACCAAAATCTCAGAGAAATGTTTCTAGTACCCCGTTGAGTCTGTGCCACAAAGCAGGTTCTGGAGGCAAATGGATGCATATACATGTCCAGCACTTATTACAGTAATGCATCAATGTGGCCACTGTTTCAGTACAGGGTATTAACCTTTGTAGTTTTGGTTATTTGTCTAGCAGGTCAGCTGTTTGACTTGTTATAAATGACAAATACACATAAATAATACAGGTTTTCTGGATGAATTAAAAATACACATTCTTAAATTATATATTTAGGAAAAAAGTACATGAAACTTCTCATATTAAATTTATGGAAAAAACTCCTAAATTTAATTTAAAGTAAAACGCAATAATACTAGTTTTACTTTGATGAAATGCGGCTTCCACTTGCTGAAACTGAGAAGATTTGGCTTTTTGAAATGCATATTTTAATTTTGGGAATCAGCTTGTAAACTGCATGATTCATTTCCTCTTCTGCTGCAGTGCAAGATGGTTTAACTGTGTTTATAAGTAACGATTTTAATTTAAAGGACACAGCATTTTGCAGGTGTCACAACGTAGCTTTTAATTACACTTCAAGACATTGTTCTCATTTACGGTTGAACACACAGAAACTGCAGTCTTCATATTGCGAGTCAGCAGGTTCACACTGTGACAGCCCAATCTCACAGTTTTGTACAAAGGAAAATTCATACACTCTTCTGTTAGTGCCACAAATCCCAAACACGGATTCTCAGTAAACAGGAACTTTCCATCCTCTGCGAAAAGCTGGCGTGTCTTATCCCACCCCCAGAGTTTGGCCTCGTTCCCTCCCTCCCCTCCCAGCCCTAAGAAGTGGTTTACAGACCGCCACTCATCCTCTGAGACCTCTGCTAGACAGCCTAGTGTTTACCAGGATTTCTGCAGGCTGGAGTGTGGCGTTATGTATTTAACAAATTCTGTATGATTCTTTATCTTTCAGCTAGCAAAGCCTAATGTACTGATCCTCCGAGAGCACGCTCTCACATTTGGTCTGCCTGATACAACTGATGCAGTTTGTGCAGAGTGTTTTTGGAAACCTTCAGTGCAACAATGGTTTCACACTTGGAGAGCCCCTCTCTACTTACAACAACAATTTGAATAACAATTTGACTTTTGACACTCTCTGCTCTGATACTGTTGTCCCACCATCACACTGGTGAGCAATCCTCTGGTGTAAACTTAAGTCACAGCCTGCAAGTTAATTTCCTTGAACAAGTCTTTAATGAGATCAAACCCAGCTGACTGTCGTCCTCAAGCTGATTCAGTACAGCTCAAAGGAGGCTGCATGATGAATAACTTGATAGCTGACTTAGAAATAGCAGCTAGTGTGTGCACATACTCATCTTCATTTTACACATCAAGCTTTCTTGTGTGCATTTTTTAATCATCAGCATCTCTGATAAGTTACATAAAAATTTGATAGATTTCCATTCATGCATTACACCAATTGTACATCAGCAAATTAGCATTTAAACTGCATCACGGTAAGCATGCTAACTGTTCGAAGCAGATGTGATTTTATCTGCAGCATCAGTGTATTATAAGCGTGCTTTTATCTGCCATCGTCTGATGATGAGTACAGTTAGTCGTGTTTACGTCTGGTCAAGCTACTGCATTATACTTTTAATCTGATAAGGGCGATTGCTTTGGTTTGTCTGCGCGACCAGAGCATTACCAATACGGCGACGGTCACCAGCATCGCTAATCTAATGTGAAGGTAAATAAAGCAAAAAAAAACTCTCGGCATCACTGAATCAACACAGATCCCGATGAAAACTCAGAGGATGTGTGTTAGTTTGCTTCTTTCTTGCCAATTTGCTCGAAAAATAAACTTAAAGTACCGTTTTACACAAAGACAGAGTGCCTCAGTAGTTTTCTATAGTTACGCATGAACCACACAGCATCTAGTTTTCCTGAATTTTGTTCTTTGTACTTCTACCTGCCCAACTGAAGAACACCTGTCAGCTCAGCCATCAGAGCCACGCAGTGCTTCCTTTTTTCTTCTATTTTTTTGCCAGCACAGAATAACTCACGCCTACTCGCCACAATACAAACTCAGCACTTCAAGTAATCACTTCAAATGAAAAGCCCTCGCATCCAAGTGAATGTGTGTGCCAACTTTAAAGAAGTTCCATCAAGGCGTTCAAGAGATATATACGCTGAAGCGAAGGCGATGAAAACACAAAAAGACGACTAAACGGAGTTGTCTTTGTACCATAAGACACTGAGGATTATTTATCAATCACCATCAAAATGAAATAAGTGCAGTAGTAGTTAGCTAAAACTAATTCAAGTGTTGAAACAAAAAATAATAATAAAAAAGTGGAGTAAAAAGAGTACGTCCTTAGTTTTAGTATTTGGTCAACACAGCAAGATCAACACATGATTTCTGCTGTGACATTCAGATGGTAGTATCAGAATTTGGTGTAAACAACATAAAAGCATCAATCAATCCTGCCTCGTATCAGCAGCTCAGGCAGCTGGTGGTGTAATGTC